GCAGCATCTGGCTTCAGCATGTCCTGTTATCACTTGCTAAGCAGCCCCAAACCCAGCACCAACGGCAGCTGGCCTTGGTTCGCTGCTTGGCCTCTCAAGGCACTTTTCAGCCCACCACAGGTGGCAGCTGTGAATTGCTTTGTGGCTCATGCCAAGCGGCCCAGTGAGGGAACAGAATGCGGCTGAACTTGGCCTGTGGCAGAGCCCCTCCCAGGATGCCTTGGGGCTGGCACGTTCAATGGCCAGCTTCAGACTGAGCTGGAGCACTACCCAGCTGCCTCCGAGGATGACACACTTAAAGGACAGACTGGGCAGGCACCAGAGCCCTGCTCAAGTGAATCCTGCTCTGTAGGGTCAGCCCCTGCACCACTCCTCCACTGTAGTCATGGCCAGTCCTCACAACCAATCATCCCGAGGTTAAATCCAGCAAACGTGCAAACAGCAACCAAGGTTCGACTACAAGAGGACACACACAACCCATACAACAGACATACCTGGAGCGCCCAGCTCAGGTAACTAGGGAGACTGCACCAGTGGGCCACATGGGACATCTACAACATAAGGCCACTATACTAAGACTGGGAGATATAGCAGTCCTACCTAACACATAGAAACAAACACAGGGAGACTGCCAAAATGGGGAGACAAAAAAGCACGTCCCAAATGAATGATCAGAACAAACCTCCAGAAAAAGAACTAATCAAAATGAAGACAAGCAATCTACTACACATAGAGTTCAAAACACTGGTTATAAAGATGCTCAGCAATCTCAGGGGGAACTTTAACAAATACATACAAACCATAAAAACAGAGATAGAAAACATAAAAAAGAACCCGTCAGAAATGAAGAATGCAATAACTGAAATGAAGAATACATTAGATGGAATCAGCAGATGAAGCAGAGAACCGAAACAGCAATTTGGAAGATAAAGTAACAGAAAACACCCTATCAGAACAGCAAAGGAACAAAGAATCCATAAAAATGAGGCTAGTTTAAAGGGTCTCTGGGACAACATCAAGTGTACCAACATTCACATGATAGGGGTACCAGAAGAAGAAATAGAGCAAAGAACTGAAAGCCAATTTGAAGAAATAATGACAGCAAACTTCCCTAACCTGGTAAAGGAAATAAGACATACAAGCCCAGGAAGCACAGAGTCCCAAATAATATGAACCCAAAGAGGCCCACAGCAAGACACATCATAAGTAAAAATGCCAAAGGTTAAAGACAAAAAGAGAATCTTAAAAGCAGCAAGAGAAAAGCAGTGGTTACCTACAAAGCAGTTTCCATAAGACTATCAGCTGATTTCTCCAAAGAAACTTTGCAGGCCATAAGGGATTGGCATGAAATATTCAAAGTGCTGAAAAACAAGAATCTACAAAGATTACTCTACCCAGAAAAGCTATCATTTAGAATCCAAGAACAGATAAAAAGCTTCCCAAGCAAGAAAAATCTAAAGGAGTTCATCATCACCAAACCAGTATTACAAAAAAATGTTAAAGAGACTTCTTTAAGACAAAAAAATAGGGCCGGCCGAGTGGCGCGATGGTTAAGAACTCGCTTGGGATGCCAGAGGGCCCTGGTTCGGATCCCACATATGAGGGCCAGTGACACTGCC